TGGCACAACAGATTTCGTCCGTCTGACAAGCTTCTCGCAAACAGAGCCTAACAGGGAACCCTGTGGCTTTTAAAACTGGCACTAACAGAATGAGTATGGGATTTTCAGTGGATAGACTTGATATACACGAAAGCGCAATGCCATTTTTTTACAGTTCTCGAGCGAGCGGATCCGTACTTGAAGAGTGCCTTAGTCGGCGACCTGTAAGATAAAGACACCAACATGCATGTGACGAGGAGAGCTGCAGGTAGCTCAAGGGTTAGAGGACTCGAACCGATATCAGAAGTCTCCAGAAATCGAAGCCATCAAGCCGCGAGGTAGAATGCTCTTCGGGTTTTTTTTTTTTTTTGTCATATGCATACTCATTCTGTGGTTGCTTGGTTCTTTAATTATACTTTTTTAATATGTGTGTATATTTTTTTACGTTTTCAAATAAACTTCAGTGGGGTGTTCTCCTGCTACCTTCGTTCTTCGGTTTTTTTTTTTGTGCTTTTTTCAAATATGAATTTTTCGCTATAGCCGCCCATTTTGCGTTCTTTTAAATAGAGCTCATTTATAGTATTGGAATCATTGGGGTAGCCAGCAATGGCTTCGGTTGGCTCAAACCCTCGAAATTTTCGCGATCTGCATATCTATATGCACACGCATAAACATGCATGAACATTGAATAGGTGGATTGGATACCCTCTCTCCTTATCACACACACACACGCACGCACACAAACTTATGGTTAAGTCACATATCCTGAAACAACAACAAAAAAATACTCGCAAGTTCTCGGATTAGCAGTTCAAAAAACAACTCATCTTGCGGGCAAGTGAAGCTGTTCTTTTGGCTTCGTAGCAGTTTCTGAATTTACTTTCTGAATTTCACACAGTGACGATATTCTTTGAATTTGTACGCATCTTTCGTGCAGTATATCGAGGAATTTATCTTAAAGACGCTGTTTTCGTATGTTGAAAAAGTCTGGCTGAAATGAATTTTTGTTTGCGTATGCTCGAGTGCTCGTTTCTGTGCGTGTTTGCACGCTTGCTTATGAAGAACTTGATGCTATAAAGCGGCCGTTTGTTGGCAAGAAGTTTTTTTTATTTTATTATCAAACACAGCTGACCGCCTGTTACGTGAAAGCTTCAGTTCATGATGGGAGTCCTCCGTTTCTGGTCACGCGTCCTTTATTATTATTCGCATGCTACAGTTATGGTGGCTGCAACCATACATACTAAATTGCTGTAAGAGACGTCCATTACTTGCTTTTGCTTTTCTCTCGAGCGGAAATTCAGCTCAGTAACCTTGAAGACATCATCGAGGTGTACTTTTTTTTCGGGGCTAATTTGAAGGTTGATCAAAGAGTGGCATACGAAAACTGTCTATTATGCGGCGTTTCGGACCTCATGTTTTGTGCAAGCTTCACCACAGCCGTTTCAAGTGTTTTTTTGTTTTTTTTTATCAGACAGGTGTACTGCTGCCTTGATTTTTAATTCGATGGCGTTGAAGAGCCTGTTTCGCAGAAATTCCGGCGTCGGTTATTGGGAGCAAAAAATCATCATAAGTGTGACCGAAAATCGAGAATTCCGCGATTAAAATGAATTATGAAAATCCTCGGTCAGAGTGGCGATCGAACCCGGGTGTGGCAAGCGGATATTCTACCACACGACCACGCCTTTGCTTGTGAAAACAGTGAAAAGAACTTCCTCTGCTTGGAAATGTAGTGGAAGTAGCTTTCATGCTTTACAATCGCACGTGTCCTGTATACAGGCTTCACAATGCAGCATGAAATGTTGCAGTAATAATGCGCGGTACAAGCGATCATTGCCAGCGGGTGCCAGAATATGCGATTGTCATAATGGCTCCGTGGTTTAAAGACAGACACCCACTACAAGAGAGACAAACGCTACTGCGCCTATTTCTTTAAGGCCAAGGCCTAGCAAGTTGGAAAACGTTTCACGCATTAAGTGTTTGAAGTACGCGCTAGGAACAGGAAATCACATGCGCGTTCAACTCTTCAAGGCGAAGCTTTAGGGTCCCCTATTTTTTTTTTCTCTCTCGTCCCGACTCGGCGGTCTTGCTATTCTTCTGAGGACTGATTCCCCAGTAAAGTGATAATACGAGTACGAAAGCAACTAAAGGTTTATGCGCCGTATGCATGGACTGTATTGCCGGGCGTAATTGGAATGCTTACGATATACATGTCATATAAGTAGAACAAATTCTGATCGACTCGCGCTTGTATGTCTTATCCGTGCACAGCAATCGGTGCAGTGGAGGTAGAGATAAGCTGCGCTGTTAATTGCTGTTGTGTGGTTATGTGTGTGTGTGTGTGTGAGGGGGGGGGGGTGATCAGTAGTAAAGCCTCACGTAGTGTAAATAAACCCATTTAAGGTGTATATATATTGTCGCGGTTCAACGCGAATAAAACACACATACACCTTGGGACGACGTAATCAGCGTGTCCTCAACAGCTGAGCCACAAGATCGTCTTCTTCGGCCTCGAGAGCAGCTAGGGGCCCACTACCTCGTGCCCACTAAATTCCCCATCATCGTTATCGTCCACGTGTAGACACGTGTCAATATATATATATATATATATATATATATATATATATATATATATATATATATATATATATATATATATATATATATATATATATATATATAGAGAGAGAGAGAGAGAGAGAGAGAGAGAGAGAGAGAGAACGTTGTCTTATGTTTCCCTACACCGTTGACCTAACGACCGGACACGAATAGAAGTTTCTCGACCTAACCGTACTCGGAGCACAATAGGAGCGTGTTACTACATCTCGTGTGAATGCGACTGTCACAAACGTGGGGCGTTCCCGCCGGCGTGCCCGAAAGGAGGAAAGAAGCTTCCGTCCACTAGCTACTTGAAAACGGCGCCGCCGCGTCTTCCCTACACTTGCAGCGGAAGGGGGCACGTATTTGTTGGGGGAAAATGATCTCAAGGGGGATGCGTGAGCCCCGAAGAGAATTTAACTGCTTCAGAATGCTTCAGCAGTTGATGACGGTGAACCGGTGAAAAGTACAGGCAGACGCGTAGCCAGAAATTTTTTTCGGGAGGGGGGGGGGGACTATTGGTGCGTCAAGTACGGACACGGAGTGTGACCTTCATTTGAGACCTTCAGTGGCACCCCGTCAACTCACCTACGTACACCACGAGCTGGTCTGGTTCGTATACGTAACTTTTTATAATTCAGCCAGCCGGTCTGAGAACTGGCTAACCTCCCTGTCTTTCCTTCTTCAATCCTTATAATTTATTTTATACTCAGCTTTTAAGTATTGTTTTAGTGTGCGCTGTGTCGCACGAGAAGCTCAGAAGTGAGAGACCGACCTTTCTTATAATTTTCTCTGTTTCTTCAGTTTCCAACATGTCCAGTAACATTCCGCGTCATGTCTACTTGTACCTTTTGTAATGTTCTTTTAGGCCATGGTTTGTTCTGTAGCTGTTCTTTTCGTCGTAAATACTTGTGCTTTTCCTCTTATATAATTTTGTGAACTCTCGCCGTTGCCCTTGTTTTAATTACATTGTTTGATCAAAGGTCCTTGTCTGCTCTCTAAGTACGTCAGTCACACTGAAACAGCACTACACGTGCAACCCCGCACGGGTCGAAGATTTGAAACACACCACTTCAAGGCCTTCCAGGCATCGCAGGCCTACACGTATACATATAAAAGTGGAAGCCTACGAGTCTGTTTCACCGCCTTTATTAGATCTGCGACGCCTCACCCGAAGTGTGTGACAATGAATTTGGGCCTCGTGTTTCTTTGTCACTTCAGAGAACTTCGTTACATGCTTCGTGTTTTGCTGCTGGTCGCTCCGTTCGTCAGGTTGCTTGTTTCCGTTGGAAGTTCAATCTTGTACCAGGTTTTTTGCACGTGCGATCGCATCGCATGGTAGATGCGACGGCGTGGCAGACGCATATCCGGTACTTTTGGCCGGCATTCGTAGCGACGCCTGTTTCTGTAGGTAATTCTTTTTCCTGCTTTTCGCGCTTGGTTAGTGGACAGAGCGACGGCTCGCTCATCTTGTCAATGGGATCCGGTGGCTGCATTGATTCGGGCTTAACGTATCTCTGCAAAATGCTCGTGTCTCTCTTTCTTGCTCTTATCGTTTTTTCGCCGCTTGCCTTGTACCTCTATGGCCTCCTGAAACATTCGTTCAAGCTGGAACCGAACAGCTTTGTCTGGAACATGTTTGTTTTCCCGGTTGTGGTTGGGGTCTCTTGTGCACCGTTCGTAAAGATGACGCTGGCATCCAGAGCCTATGGTTCCAGCTTTTTGATTAACAAGTGCTGGGCATAATGAGCCTTCGACTGCGCACGGATGAATGCAGCTATAGTTTGCACCAAGTGATGACCAGACTTGGCCACAGCGATCCTGAAGCATGTCGAGCTCCGTGTAAAATAGGGATATTGTTGACAGGAAAGGACGTCTTTGCATCCGTCTTTTCTTTTTACTTGCTGGGTCCGTGGCCTGGGCCCATTCCCAGCATAAGCTGCAGGCTTTGTAACTTCACTATAGATAGCTCTCTCCATACCTACAGTCCACTGGCACATTTTATTTCATATAGCAGGCGTACATTCATTTTTACATTTCGTCGTTCAGCCGGCGTTTTTGCCAATTGATATAAACCGTAGTTATCGGGCTTATTTTGCGGTGCCTCTTCGGTGTTTGTAAACGTCTGCCGGCGGTATCTCTTCGAGTGCGTGGTTATCCTGCGCTTCCTCCTCAAACGTTATTCCCATTGTCGTTGTGTGATTTCAACGTTATCTGCTTAGAGGTCCCGCTGCGACACTATAGGATGTGTGGCTTCAGCTGGTGGCGACGCAGCAACAACTGGCCTGCGGCGTTTCGGCCTGTGTCGTGGATTCCGCATCGCACCGTCGTTTCTCCAGGCGGCAGCTGTGGCAGAATCGCCGCGCGCGCTGGCGGCATGTCTCGCGACGGCTAATCGGCCCCTCCGATAAAGTTGGCCAGCGTCGACTGCTCTAGACTCCCTCTCCTCGAAAGCTCCATAGCCCACGGCGGGCCGGAGTGATGGCCGTCTGCGAGAGGGTGCACAATCTCAACACCACGGCGTTGCAGTGCGCCTTCGTTCGGAACACTGCCGACTGTCATGCGGACGAATCGTGGTTCGAGTATACCACTTTCGCCTACTGCGGTCCGCTCGCGCCCTACCTTCCTATCGGCGCCGAGGTGCTTTGGATCGCCCTGCTTTTTCTGGTGCTCGGCATGACGGCTGACGACTTCCTGTGCCCGGCACTCGTCGTCATGTCGCGCACGCTACGCCTCTCGGAGAGCGTGGCGGGCGTCACGCTGCTCGCCTTCGGCAACGGGGCACCCGACATAATCTCCTCCCTTGCCGGCATCGAACAGTCGCGGCCCGCGCTCGTCATCGGCGAGCTGCTTGGCGCTGGCATGTTCGTCACCGCCGTGGTGGCCGGCACCGTGTTCTTGCTGTGCCGCTTCGAGCTGGAACCGGACTCGTTTCTGCGCGACACAGTCTTCTACTTGGCCGCGTCTTTTTGGACCTTCTACTTGTTCTATGACGGTGGCGTAACTCTGGGCCAAGCCGTCGGCTACCTTGGCCTGTATTGCGCCTACATTGTGGTCGTGCTTGCCGCCCACTTTTGGAAGCAGGCACACCCCGAGGAGGTTCCTTCTCTTTCGGACAGTGCTGCAAAAGTAGTTTTGGAAGTGCCCGTGGAATATCAGACCACTAGTCACCTGCTCATGCCTCCGGTTTCACCCGAATGGGTGCAAGAGCGGAGGTCTTCGGTCAGCAGCACGGCGAGCAACGGCAGCGTTGGTGATGCCCGACGACGGCGAAGTTCTACGGGCAGCCTCCACCGACACCACGAGCATGCCATCGCGGCATTCATGCAAGCTTCGCACGAGGCATCGATGGAGCGCCGCATCTCTCAGTGCTCGCAACCGCCTCTCGAGCCCGCTGTGACGAGTGAGAAGACTCCCCTTCTCGGCGGCACCGAGTCTTCCGCGGGCGGACAAGAAATGCGCCCTTGGGCCGAGTTCCTATCACAGCTGGTGCCTTGGGACCCTGAAGAGTGGGTCGAGCGAGGTGTCGCTGGGAAGATATACGATATTGTCACGTTTCCTGTGCGGTTCGTTCTCGTGCTCACAGTACCTGTCGTGGACTACGAGAACGCTAAGAACAACTGGTGCCGACCCCTGAACGCCTTGCATTGCGTGACCTCGCCTTTGTTCGTGGTAGTCGTTCTCGGCCGTGCCGACGACTACGTAGCCGACAAAATTCCCTCCTGGGTGCTAGCCCTGCTCATAGGCGGCATTGCTGCTATGCTTGTGTGGTTCAGCTCCAGCTTCGAGAGCGCACCGTGCTACCATTCTGCCTTCGGCTACGCGGGTTTTATTCTGTCTGTGCTATGGATCTATGGCGTGGCCAATACACTGCTCGACCTCTTGCGCACCTTGGGACTGGTAGCGGGCGTTAGTGACGCCATTTTGGGTCTTACCGTGCTAGCGTGGGGTAACAGTCTCGGAGACTTCGTGACCAACGTGGCCGTGGCGCGTCAGGGCTATCCGAGTATGGCCATGGCGGCATGCTTTGGCGGGCCGCTTCTCAACCTGCTAATGGGCGTTGGTCTTCCGTACACTGTCGAACTGGCACCACTGGGCTTCAGCACTCGGCTTCCGCTGGAACTCACGCCCCTCGTGTCAACCCTCTATGGGGGTGTTGTTGCTTCGCTGTTGCTGTCCCTGTACGCCACGTTGTTCTGCCGGTACCAGTCCAGCCGCCTCCACGGAGCGTCCCTTCTTGCCTTGTACGCGCTCTTCTTGGCAGCGGCAGTGACCGTTGAGACCACGTACGTCTAGTCCGTGGCGTCGGAACTGCACGCAGTGACCCTTGCCCCGCATCGGCGACTGCTCTTTTCGAGAAACAAACCATTCGGCGTCGCCCTGGAACTTTATATCCTCTGTCATGGCGTAATCCTGCCACCTCTTGTTCTCCCATGTTGTCGTGGCTGCATGTGCCTGCGCACTTTGTACGTACTACACTTCAACTGACTGTGTACTGCCCCGAGACGGCGCTGTCCACCGAGTGAGGTGAACCAGTGACAGGTGTCATGACCTTCGGCTGTCATGGTAGGACGTGCCTCCAACCTGCTCCCATAATTATTTGACTATGCTGGAAGAATGCTGTCCGAGACGCCTCGTCGCAACTTGTCATTTTCTCATTGATGGATTTTGTGGGCTGGGAGTGTAAGGGTGGGCCACAGCTCGCGCGTTATGTGTCATTCTATCTCGTGGAGTGTTAGAGGTATTTATAGAGTTCACTGCGTTAATACATTTTTATATAGCTGCTGATAAGGATGCATGTCTCGTCTGCGGTCGCCTAGGCGGAATTCGCGACTATAAAATACGGCCGCGATGTCGCTGGATGGTACGAGCATATTCTATTGTCGATGATCGTGGCCTACCGAAGCACCGAGGTGAACCATATTTCAGGAAACCTTATTTCAGGGCTGTTCGCCCATTCGTGTAATCTTTCCTTTCCTTGGTAAGGAAAAGGTAGGTGGTGGGAGGGGCGCGGATCTGTTATACTTCCACTCTCATTTCTTGTAACAGAGCTGCCCAGAACGGCTGATAGTTGAGCTAGTTAAGCTAGTTAAAGATGATTTTTTGGGCGCGAAAAATCTCGCGAACCCGGAGACAAGAGAACCCTGCAGACAACACAAATGCCGTCGTTTGTGTTGGCTTGTTCTCCTGTGTCCGCGTTTACACGCTTTACCTTCATCCGTGAAGAGCTGCTCATTCGAATAACGCGTTCGATGCTCTAACCTATCACAGCGGCCATCATATGGTGGTTTTGGGACGTTAAACCCAACAAATCAAATCAAATCAATCAATCGAAGAGCTGCTCATTCGCGTCATTTAAGTACCGGTCTTTCGCACAGTGTTGCAGTCTGCTAAAGATGGAGAGAAATGGTGAGGAACGCCAGGGAGGTTAACCAAGCTTTGTCTTGGTTGCCTACCTTACATTTGGGGGGGGGGGGGGATAAAAGTAGAAAGGAAAGAGAGAAAGGTTGGGTGCCGCAATGCTGGCCATTCCAGTGAGACACGAATACGCATTCCTCAAGGCCACGCCCAACCACGTGTGACTCGGCGAAGTTTCATCAGTTCGCTAAAGCTTCTGTAATGTCATGGTCATTGTCTGCTTTGTTGTACTATCAGCGTCAAATGAAACCCGAACAGCGGCAGGCCTTCGCGATGGTATAGTGCGTGCCGTCCGGCTATATCACCGCGGACAGGCACGCGCAGAGCTGCTGAACAGCATGCGCGCGCGCCTGTCAACGCTGATAACTGAACTACACTGTCGCGAAGGCTTGCCACTGTTCGAGTTTCATTCGACGCTGATAGCACGTTCAGTTCAGATAACGTAATCGCATGTTGTTGTTATAGTATGTTCTTAAACTGAATCGGTGTCTTAGACCGTTGATGAGCCTCTTATTGAAAGTGGCAGCGAATTGAAGGACGTGACTCGTTTGCACCTCTTTCGTGACGTATACTGTATACAGTCGCACTTACGTGAAGCAGAGAGTTTCGTGAAGAAGAAAAAAAAATACCAACGCATATTCGTGACCTCCGCGCTACAGGCTTCAATTGTTGCCTGCGGTTAATCCAGGCACCGCGCTGTTTTTGCCTCGCACCGTGTTAGCTTTTGAACTTCTCCAACACCCAAAACTTAGACTAACGGAAACGTCACTTCTTAAGCGAGAAAATTGCATATCGCGACTGGTTGCGTTCGCTGCTTGCCGACTTGATTAATCATCTTGTTAGATTGCTGTATTTTTATTTATTTATTTATTTTATCCAGAAAGTACCATAAAGTCTTATAGCAAGTAACAGCGCATGCCTCTATTCAATTGGTTTTTCTGCTTCAGTATCGAAAAACAACACTTTTGTTATCGTCTGCCTATTCCACTTCGTGCTCTTACATAAGCTGAACAAGTTTAGTGATAAAACGCGTCTCCGAGAATATTACTGAGAAACTTGCTCCTAAAGCTCCCATTATAATATTGTACTAACAACACAGCAGGCGTTGTAAGGCGCGATTAAGCAGCCTCTATCAATGCAACGAGCTTGCTTGCCTTATTTACAATTTTGAGCACATTTATTTTCCCAAGGTCATCCGACATTTCGTTACTTATTATAGTATGTTACCGCTACCCTGCTTTCATAGAAACATGAACGGAAAGGCAACCGAAACGCGCCGAATAGCCCTCTTACCGGAATGTGTACCTTCCTACACACCGTCTCTATCGGTGCAGTGATATCAATTGCGTCCATCTTGGATGCACAGTCGTGCCTCCTGTAGTGTTCAGGTGGCAGGCACGTTGTTAGTCACGTGTGTAATGATTCTCCCTTTGTTCGACATCGTGCGAACAATAGCGACCTCGGCGGCTTTCCTCCGCCGCCCCCCGTTGTACTCGTCGCACACGCCTAATCGGAGAGGGCAAGGTCCAAGGCCTTTTGCGCTGTTCACTAGACTCGGTATTTCCCGTCTGTTCGACACCTGCTTCAATCGCCACTTGGTACGCGCGTCCGACGTCAACAGAAGCGAGTCCATTGCTGCCGTCTTTGTTTAGCGAACAGTTCCCCGCCGCGGTGGTCTACTCGGCTGCTGACCCGCAGGTCGCGGGATCTTATCCCGGCTGCGGCGGCTGCATTTCCGATAGAGACGAAAATGTTGTACGTCCGTGTGCTCAGATTTGGGTGCACGTTAAAGAACCCCAGGTGGTCTAAACTTCCGGAGCCCTCCACTGCGGCGTCTCTCATAGTCATATGGTAGTTTTGGCACGTTAAACCCCACAAATCAATCAATCAATCAATTAGAAGCACCTGTTTGCCTCTCTCCAGAGCCGGTGTACCGTAACGATTCTTTTGCGATCCTGTTTCTTTGATATCATATCGAGCACTGATCTGACCATTGCCGATGTGTGAAAACGGATGGCATTGGAGAGGAATCGTTGCGTTATACCGGCTGATGTTGGCCCATCGGTATGCTGTATATAGACCTGCAGGTCGCACGTGCGTTGATGCGCTGCCTTGTTAACGTTAGCGATGTCTATGGTAAAATGTCTCTTATATCTGTAGTGCGTGTTCTTTTTTTTTTCACTCTACTGAGTTTTCGAGTGGTGGGAATGGATTTTTGGTGCAGTATTTCTTGGATGTTTCATTTTATTCTTCTGCTGATTTTGAGCAGCGTGATTGATTTGTGTACTTGAAATTGGATGTTACAAAGTACGAGTCATGGTTGTTCTTCGAATCCTCGACCATGACGGGCGCAGTTTGAAGGGGGCAAAATGAAAAAAAAACGCGTACTTGGATCTACTCGCACGTCAAAGAAATTACACCAATAATCGCAGGATGAGACGGCGTCAGCGATTCAGTCCGCGCATGACCATGACGTGGCAGAGTGCCAACGAATCGTGTCGCAAGCATTTCGTCTGTGTCATTTCTGCTTGTGGCGTGACTTGTGAGGCACTGCAGACCCGTCAGGCTCATCCGCCGGCTAAATCTGCAATGCATCCCGTTATCCTAATCAGGCGTCTGACCTCTGCTGTCTTTTTTTTTTCTCTTTTGGTCTTCGTTAAAAGTTGAAGGCTATTAAAACCAAATGATTCGATAAGGTGGTATCTTTTGGCGTTCCATGTGGATTTCTGAGCCGATATATGAATATTTAGCGAAGCAAGCCTTTTCGTTCTGTCGCGTGATTGGTGCTAACGGCTTGTTTGCTTACGCAAACGCGATCCTGGCCAATTGGAGAAGGGCAAGCGAATGGGTGGACTTTCTCAAGCAACTGGCTTCGCCGCAGGCACCATTTTTAGGGTGTGTTGTATAGGCTGTTTCTCAAAATCTATTCTATACCGGGGTTCGCTGCACTATGTGCGGGCACGACTGTGGGACAAGTTTGATATTCTTGTTGGCGCCCGTTTCATCCGGCCGGGGGGGGGGGGGGGGGGTATTCCCGAACCATCAGTTAAGCGAGATTATCATTGAGCGAATTTCTTAATTTCTTCGAGCCAGCTCTGTCAGGTGCCGCAGACTTCCATCAAACCTAACAAATTTCGCTTTTAAGTACATTACGGCATGAATTTTGCCCACTTTCCTAGAATTCTCACATGTTCAGAGATGAAGTGTGCAGCAAAGCAGGGACGTTCTAGTATATAGTACCTCAGTGCGCAAAAGGGTGTTAGGTAAAAAAAAAAACTGGAACAGCAGTTCATTATACCTCATGTTTGATGGCGTAAAAGTGCCTAGATTATGGGTGCCTCATTTGAAAGTTGTATTTTTATTTAATTTTGATGTTTCCGTTATTGCCACGGCACTAAATACCATGTATGATTTCTTGGATGACTCGCTAGTTAAGCACTGTTATGGTATTATGCACTTAGGGAACTTACTGTAAGACACTTGAAAAAAAAAAGGGTTCAAGAAATAGATCTTGGGGATTGTGAATTGATATTGATCCCCTGGATTTCCTTAATGTGTGCTTAAGTGTGAGTATACGGGTGTTTTGGTATTTTGCTCCCTTTTAAATCCACCTGTCGTGCCCGCGAGAATCGAAGCCGCAGTCTCGAGCTCAGCAGTGTGACACCTTCCGCTGAGCTTCCGCGGCTGGTAAGCGTGCACCGATTGGGGACCATGGCTGTAACGCACAATCGTAAAGACCGTGTCTTCCGTACAGGCGAGCACTCGTTGTTTGACGCTGTTAGCGGCTGCGCGAAGCAGCTTTCTTTTTGCCTCCTGGTCGGATCAACTTTCACCGAACTTTCCAAGGCGATTCATTTCTGCGGCTATAGTGCGTGCTTTTTTCGTTAGAATATACTCGCTGTGGTACTGAAATGCCTTCAAAAGCGACAGAGGGTGCCCCGGTTTAATATCAAATCCAAAGTGGTCCTTCTGCTTGAGTGTGCTTGTTCCGGAGCATGTCGACGTCGTCTCTCGTATCGGCCGCGTTTGAAAGCTATGGGAATGTCGTGGTATTTCTGTGCCTCGCTTGAAGCTCAAAGGGAGCTTCCGATTAGGCATTGTAAAGCGTGGAGAGCAGCTCACGTGGATGACCCCCTTCCCCATTTGAATTTGCCTTTCCGCCTCGCTAATTGCGCGCAACGCCAGCGAGAGTCTCAATGTGCTCCCTCCTCGTGTAGTCGG